CTCTGGCACTCTCCGCTGACCATTATTTAAGCTTTATCAGATATCTTCTACCAAATATAATTTTATAAGCAGTACGTTGCGTGACTGTAGAAATCAGTTTATGGGACAGATTATTATTATTTTACGATCGCCAAGGACGTCGAAAATATCCTCACGATGAGGAAGAGATTATATATCTTTCGTTACATACATACATACGAGTATATCGTTTTCTAAAAACTAAAGCGATTCGATAGCTCAATACAATTAGATTTATACGTATTTGCAATACAACAATTATGAAAAATCTAAAATCTTAAAGAATGCTGTAAAGGACTTGTTGAAATATGTAGTATCTTTTTCCCATAATTTAACACGATCATCAGTGTGTTATTATCTTCCATACCTAAAAAATATGATTACCATAGTAATATCGTAGCGCGTTGTAGCAACTCACTGTTTCAGAATCATGTAATAATAACCGCGTTCCATATCGAGAGAGCAGGAGCCCGTTGATGTAAGCGTCGGCGCGTTAACACGGACCTCTGCCGAATCGTTTAACATTATAATGACCGGGCTCCTGAGAACAGTCGTAACAGGTAGGAACACGCGACCTGTTGCGAGAGAAAGAGAGAGAGAGAGAGAGCAGACCCCCCGTGGCCTCCGTTCGCCGGAGTATACGATGTTATCTTCATCTCTAGAGAAGCTAGAGAAGCCAACTCGCGATGTACGCCCGCGTAAACAATGGGCCGGTCGAGCGACTTTTGATCATTTCAACGGACTGCACGTATGTATATATACACGTAGTGTGTCGTGAAAAGTACGCACGAGTAGCTGTGCGCGATAAAGATACTGAGTTGCTCCGTTATTATCACGAATATCTACGGTATTCAGTTGCGAATACCCGCATATACGCGTCGGAAACGTCGCCCGGGAAGACTTACAACGTACACCGTCGGGGAGAGCTTTCTCGAGTATCAGTCTTCTTTCTTTTAGGCTGCCGCTAAATAAACAGCCGACAATGGAGATATTATGGAGCGCAGTTCTGAAATGCCTGGCATGTGCATGTACATATCTCGCGAATCAAAGTTTCTGACATGCAAAAATATCCGCGACAATATAGTATTATTATTAATTGTTACAATTTAGTGTTAATTATTATTATATGAAATTGTTGAACATATTTGTTGAAACGATATTGCGATGTATATTTAACAGTAGAAGAATACCAACGTTTATTACTCACTGAAAAAAGAAGGGATCAAACGAATAAATTACTATAAAAATAAAAAGGCAAGAAAAAACTATATATTTTATATAAAAGACATAATTATTGAAAAATAAAAAATTTTTAGACAACCTATTGTTTTACACAAAATGTAATATTAATCTTAAAAAATAGAAACGTATTTATCAATGACGGCTCGGTACTTGTAGTATTATTTAAAAATCGAGTCGTAAATTTATTTTAAATATCTTTGCAATTAAAGTTATTTAATTATTAAGCAGCATTAATTGTTATAAGAAACAATTTTGTATTTTATAACTCTTTTATATGATATAGTATATTACTTAAAACGTATGATGTGCATTATGAATTCAATGCAAGAATAGTTCATGGTGGCGCAAGCTATCGGAAGAAACAAAACCTGGTTCTAAACTGACTGTTGAAATCAGTGTGTGTAGCTACTGATGATACTTCAAATATTATTTCAGTAGATATAATGAATTGATGCATTATTGCTTTGAATTTTTTTCGTACATAATTTAATAATTGTATAATTTATCGAAAAATAATTTCGCTTTTACGCTATATTATATCTATTATAACTCTAAATCTCTCTTGCTATTGATATATTATACCTTAAATCTGAAGCATTTAGCCTGAATGAAACTATCCCACATATTATAGAAGATGAACGTGTTGCTATATAAAAGGAGCAAAAAATGGATTGCTTATAAAATATATTTATTGTTAAGTAGAACATTATTTTAATTTTCATATTTTTTCTTTATACTTATAAAACTGAAATTAAAATCATAAAAGGTTCCAATAACTAATGATAAACGATTGCGATACAACAATTATTACGCAAAGAATTTGAAAAGTATATGCATGCAATATATGAAAATTAGATTTATGACATGTGTATTATTTACATTCGTGAAATGAAAATAACGCTAAAAGTATATGTGATTAGATATTAGATATTAAATAATATTATCTATCGATATAAATATTTAAAATAATTTTAGATTACTTCAAATATGCATATAAAAAAGAATGGTCATATGAATAATAAAAAAAAGTAGAGATGTTTAATATTATTTAATTTCAGAAAGCTCGATAAATATGCGCTCAATGGGAACGTACGATGCGAATATCATTCGCCGCAGACTAAAATATATGTCGACAATAAATAACATTGATATAATCCGTAGCGAGTAAATTCAAGGACTCTATACATGACTCTAAGAGTAATCGCATATATCTGGCAAAATAGCCAAGATTGTTTTTATAAAGTTAACTACTAGAGGAAGGACGTAGCAACGTGTCGCGATATGTACAAACGTATCTAAAAACTTTTTTTGAGCCTTATAATCTATATCTGCGAAGAAGTACGCCAACGTATTTGCGAATATTATTCTTCGATCAAATGAATAAGAAAAAAAAATTGTCGAGATCACTTGATCTATTATAACTCTACACAATGATAAAAACTAATTTTCTGAACATTATGATGCACATGTTCGCGATTGCACATGGCGTAATATTTATATTTTTTAAATATATACATATATAGTTGTACATATAAATATTGTTATAAACTCGAATTTTTTGTACATTAGAAAAAGCCGCTATCCGTACAGTATAAAAAATTAAAATAATAAAATAATTAAAAATAAATAATTTTTTCTATTTTTAACTTATCCTGCGTATTAGACGTGTACGAATCAAGCATTTGCAAAGTCGAATCGAATCAAATCAAATCAAATTTTACATACTGACATCAGCTAAAAAAATTTATTAAAACCTAAAAAAATTTATTTTAAATGTATAAGTGTAAAAAATTAAAAAATTAATATGTTATAAATGTATTAAAAACAATATTTTTTGGTAATATCTGTATATTGAAAATGACTCATTTTTACGTTTATCTAAAAAGATCTAGATCGTCATTGAAACTACTTCATAGTTCATTATTTTTTAAATTAGTGTTTTTAATCAAGCTCTCTCTTATTCTCTATCCCATTACACCATTGAATGGAAAGAAATAGAAATAGCATCTTCCACGGTCCCTCTCTCTTACTTTTATCGACCATTTTGACACACGGATCGCGCAGTCCATTCTCTAAGTCTTTGGTGTATATCAAAACACTGCCATAGACTGCACAGTCATATCAAAAAGATGAAAATATCTAATAGAGTCCAATGATAACTGACACGATGAATAAGCATACGCGCATGCACGAAGATTGATATTCGCTGATACAAGATTGATTTCTAGAGATACAAGAGAGAGAGAGAGAGAGAGAGAGAGCAAGAGACGAGTGATTCAAAATCGAACGACTGATTATTCGAAATTTCGAATTTATCGATTTCGAATCTTCCAAATCCGAAAACGAATCCACTGTGATTCGATTCGACTCGATTCTAATTCGAACTAATTCGCACATCTCTACTGCGTATATACATGTGTGTGTGTGTGTGTGTGTGTGTGTGTGTGTGTGTGTGT